CACACATGTACCTAGGGCAATGATGTCCATCTGATTTCACTATCTTTCCTGCCCTCATTCCTCCTCCTTTCCTTTGCCCAGTTGAAGTTCCTCCCATGCCCCTCCCCATAATTATGAATCAGCATCCACTTACCAGAGAGAATATTTGATATGAAATATTGGCTTACTTTGCTTAACATGATATTCTCCAACTGCATCCATTTACCTGAAAATGCCATGATTTTATTCTTTTTTAATGTTGAGTAATATTCCATTGTGTATATATGCCACAGTTTCTTTATCCATTCATCTATTGAAGGGCATCTAGGTTGGTTCCACAGTTTAGCTCCCACAGTTCATTCCCCCCACCACCTGGGAACCTAAGCCTAACCCACTTCCATCTGGAGTCACTCAGTCATCACAGTAACCCCTAACTTTTTGACAACAGACAGGTCCTTAGAAGCAGCTGCATCTCAGAGCAGGCATCCCAAAGAGAGTGTGAGGCCCAACCTTTTAGCCCCATCTCTATAAGACATTGCTTCCATCTTGGAGCACCTTAACTATTAGGTCGAGTTACCTGGGCTATTGCCCCCCCCCCACCTTTAGATGCAGTAGCATACATTGAGGGACACCAGCAGGGTCTAAAAGCCCAACATTTAGAAGGTGATGTACAGATAGTCCGCATGGTACTACAAGAATATAGGGTAGAAACTGTAATATCTCAGATCCACACTGCAAGAAAGGAAGACATATAGACAACATGAAAGAAAAAAAAGGGAGGAAAGTGCCCCAAACAAACCAGGACACTATAATAACAGAACCCATGGACAGCGAAGTTGATGAAATGTCAGAGAAGGAGTTTAGAAGGCTCATAATTAAAATAATCTGTGAATTAAAGAATGACCTAAATGAGCAAATACAGAGAAAAATTGAACACTCCAACAATGAGATAAGAGAAGAAATACAGGTAGCAAAAGCTTAGTAACTGAGAGAGAGAGAGAGAGAGAGAGAGAGAGAGAGAGAGAGAGAGACTCTGTAAAAAACAAAAACAAAAAATCAGTCAGAAATCCTTTAAATGAAGGATACAATAAACCAATTTAAAAAATCAGTAGAAAGCATAACCAACAGACCAGATCACTTGGAAGAAAGAACGTCAGATAATGAAGACAAAGTATACAATCTGGAAAATCAACTGATCACACAGTGAAGATAGTAAGAAACCATGAACAGAACATCCAAGAATTATGGGACAGCCTCAAAAGACTAAATCTAAGAGTTATTGGACAGAAGAAGGCACAGAGTTTCAAACCAAAGGAAAACACAATCTCTTCAATGAGATAATATCAGAAAATTTCCCAAGCATGAAGAACGAATTGTAAAACCAAATACAGGACACCAAATGTACAAAATTACCATAGATCTACACCAAGGCACATTAGAATGAAAATGCCTAGCACACAGAATAAGGATAGAAATCTTAAGAGTCACAAGAGGGAGTAATAAGATCACATATAGGGGGAGTTCAATCGGTATCTCAGCATATTTTTTAACACAGACCCTCAAAGCCAGGAAATCGTGGAACAACATATATCAAGCTTGAAAGAAAATGGATGCCAACCAAAAATCTTATACCCAACAAAACTAAGCTTTAGATTTGATTATGAAATAAAAAACTTTCATGATAAACAAAAGCTAAAAGAATTTACAACTTGAAAGCCTGCACTACAGAACATCCTCAGCAAATATTCTACGAAGAGGAAATAAAAAACAATGATGAAAATCAGCAGAGGGAGGTATTACACTAAAGGAAAATCTAATCAAAGGATCTTCTAGTATAAAAAGAATCATATCGTCAGCAAATAGAGCTAATTTAAGTTCTTCTTTTCCTAAACATATCCCTTTAATTTCTTTCATCTGTCTAATTGCTCTGGACAGTGTTTCAAGAATTATGTTGAATAGAAGTGGTAAGAGAGGGCATCCTTGTCTTGTTCCAGTTTTTAAAGGGAATGCCTTCAATTTTTCTCCATTTAGAATGATGTTGGCCTGAGACTTAGTGTGCATAGCCTTTTTGATGTTGAGATATGTTCCTTTATGATGTTGAGATATCCCTAGTTTTTCTAGTGTTTTCAACATGAAGCGGTGCTGTATTTTTGTCAAATCTTTTTCTGCATCTATTGAGATAATCATATGATTCTTATCTTTGAGTCTATTGATGTGGTGAATTACATTTATTGATTTCCGTATGTTGAACCAACTTTGCATCCCTGGGATGAATACCACTTAATCATGGTGCACAATCTTTTTGATATGTTTTTGTATTCTATTTGCCAGAATTTTATTGAGAATTTTTGCATCTATGTTCATTAGAAATATTGGTCTGAAGTTTTATTTCTTTGATGTGTCTTTGCCTGGTTTGGGGATCAGGGTGATATTGGACTCATAGAATGAGTTTGGAAGTGCTGCCTCTTTTTCTATTTCCTGAAATAAATTGAAGAGTATTGGTATTAGTTCTTCTTTAAAGGTCTTGTGGAACTTGGCTGTGTATCCATTTGATCCTGGGCTTTTCTTGGTTGGTAGACTTCTGATGGTATCTTCTATTTCATCACTTGATGTTGGTTTGTTTAAATTGTGTATATCTTCCTGATTCAATGTGAGCAGATTGTATGACTTAAGAAATTTGTTGATGCCTTCAATGTCTTCCATTTTATTGGAATATAAGTTTTCAAAATAATTTCTAATTATCCTCTATATTTCTATATTGTATGTTGATATTACTTACCTTTTTCATCATGTATGCTGGTAATTTGAGTTTTCTCTCTCCTCTTCATTAGCATGGCTAAGGGTCTGTCCATTTTATTTATTTTTTCAAAGAACCAACTTTTGTTTTTTTCAATTGTTTCTTTTGTTTCGATTTTATTGATTTCAACTCTGATTTTAATTATTTCTTGCCTTCTACTTCTTAAGTAGCAGGATATAAAATCAACACCCATAAATCAAAGGCATTTCTGTATATTAGTGACAAATCCTTTGAAAAGAAAATGAGGAAAACTACCCCATTTACAATAATCTCAAAAAAAAGATACTTGAGAATCAACTTATGAAAGAGGTGAAAGATCTATATAATGAAAACTACAGAACCCCAAAGAAAGAAATCAAAGAAGACCTTAGAAGATGGAAATATCTACCTTGCTCTTGGATAGGCAGAATTAATATTATCAAAATGACCATACTACCAAAAACGCTATACAGATTTAATGCAATTTCGATCAAAATCCCAATGGCATTTCTCATAGAAATAGAAAAAGCAATCATGAAATTCATCTGGAAAAATAAGAGAACTAGAATAACTAAAGAAATCCTTAGCAGGAAGAGTGAAGCAGGTGGCATCACTTTTTGAATTCTTTCTATACCCTAGAGATTAGTGCTCTATCTGATGTGTGAGGGGTAAAAATTTGTTTCTAGGGTATAGGCTCTCTGTTCACCTCACAGACTGTTTCTTTTGGCTGAGAAGAAAAGTTTTAGTTTGATTCCTTCACATTTATTGATTCTTGATTTTAATTTTTGTACTAAGGAAGTTGGGGCCTAATCCCACATGATGGAGATTAGGGCCTACTTTTTCTTTTATTAGGCACAGGGTCTCTGGTCTAATTCCTAGGTCCTTCATCCACTTTGAGTTGATTTTGGACATGGTGAGAGATAGGGGTTTAGTTTCGTTTTACTGCATATGGATTTCCAGTTTTCCCAGCACCATTTGTTAAAGAGGCTATCTTTTCCCCAATGTATGTTTTTGGAGCCTTTGTCTAGTATGAGGTAACTGTTTTTATATGGGTTTGTCTCTGTGTCTTTTATTCTGTACCTTTGGTCTACGGGTCTGTTTTGGTGCCTATACCATGCTATTCTTGTTACTATAGCTTTGTAGTATAGTTTAAGGCCTGGTATTGTGAAGTCTTCTTGCTAAGGATTGCTTTGACTATTCTGGGTCTCTTATTTTTCCAGATGAATTTAATGATTGCTTTTTCTATTTCTATAAGGAATAACATTGGGATATTGATTGGAATTGCATTGAATCTGTATAGTGCTTTGGATAGCATGGCCATTTTGACAATATTAATTTTGCCTATCCAAGAGCATGGGAGATCTTTCCATCTTCTAAGGTCTTCTTCAATTTCTTTCTTTAGTGTTCTGTAGTTTTCATTATAGAAAATTACAGAGTCTTACCTCTTTTGTTAAGTTGATTCCCAATTATTTTATTTTATTTTATTTTTTAGAGGCTATTGTGAATGGGGTAGTTTTCCTAATTTCTATTACAGAGGATTCATGACTGATATATAAAAATGCATTTGATTTATGGGTATTGATTTTTAAATCTTGCTACTTTGCTGAATTCATTTAATAATTCTACAAGTTTTCTGGGAGTTTTTTTTTTTTTTTTGGACCTTCTAAGTATAGAATCATGTCGTCAACAAATAATGGTAGTTACTTATATATTTAGAGATGGAGTCTCTGTGTTGCCCAGGTTGGCCTCCAACTCCTAGGCTCAGTGGAGCCTCCTACCTCGGGTACCTGGAACTACAGGCCTGCACCATCCTTCCCAGCTCTTAATGTTTCTTTTGTAGTGCTTTTATCTACCCATCTCACTGAATCAGGACCCTGCTGGAGAAGCATCAGTCCTAAAGCCAGAAAGTACTGAGCCAGAAAGAAAGACTGGAGGACTACAGAGCTCCTGGGAGTTACTATTGGGACCCACATGTCACTTTGAAGTTCACTTTTGTGAGAAGGATAGCTGCTTGGTTTAGATGACCAAGTGAACAGACAGCTACGTTAATTCTCAAAAAGAAGGTGGTTTAACTAATTATTTTCTTCAGTGAGCTAAATGTCCCACTATTATTTATAACACGATATGCTTTTATTTTATTATATGATTATATCACAGAAAGTGAGAGAGACTTTTAATACTATTAAATCTGTTAATCCTAAAAACTTTTTTTTTGTTTTTAAATTCGTTTTGTTTTATTTTGCAGATTAGGGATGGAATCCAGGGCTTCACTCCTGTTAGGTAAGCACTCTGCTCCTGAGCTCTGTCCCCAGTCTCTCATCTTGAAATTGTTGTACACTGTTTTATTATTGTACTTTTGATACCGGTCTTGGAGATCAGGATCAGGTCCTCATTGCTCTGGTATTGAAGATTAAACTCTAAAGAAACACTGAGACAAAAGTAGAAAGCAAGTTTTATTTAAGAAAGAGACAGAGGTAGCAGACTTATCTGTAGAGAAGGGGGCCCAAATCTAGGTGCCTGTGGGTATGGGTGTGTCTTACTCTTTTATAGTCCTCGGAATGGACCCCCCTTCTGTTTCTTGTCCACATACATGCCTAAGGGCAGGAAGGAGCAGCACAGGGGGTAATTGCTTATGTTGGGAAGTGTGATCCCTGGAAGTGTTAGCTGTTACCAGCCTGTTGTTTTTTCTTTGATAACCAGCCCTCATCCTCTGGATCCCCTTCATTCATTACCTACACTACTGCCAGGCCTTCGCCCCCTGCCTCAGTTTGCTGAGGAATGTGATGTATCCTGTCTCCTTGGGCCAGACAGGACTGCAGGCAGATTGTTTTTTTGGCAAAGAAAGCATGTGGGGAGTCAGTACGATGGGCTTATTTTATAGAATTATTCTCTTAACCTTGTGTTCCCACCATCCTCATCTATTTATCCCTTTACACTTTTATGGGACAAGTTCTCCTTATTACCATGTTGAGACATTATTTGTTGCCCTGAGAGACCATGAGCACTCGTATCTTGGAATGGTCTAGTGGGTACATCAGGACCTACAAAGCATCGTGGAAGTGTGTCTTATTTTTGCCTTTTTTTGACCATGGCCAATGGATCCTTCTGCCAGATCTCACCAAAGAGAGTAAATTAGTCACAGTGGAGGCTTATTCATCCTTTTAAAATTCTAAAACCACAGGTTCATATTAACATTATCCATTTCTCATTAGAAATCGACATGGAGACTCTATCATGGCTCACTCCTACTCCTTTGGGATACAAATGAGGACTTGCTCATTGTAAGCGGTCATTTGCACTTTGTCTTAGTTGACTGCCAAGACAATTCTATTGGTCTATTTTGGCATGTAAACTCCATTTGAAATTTATTTTTATTTAATTGGGCAGTCCAATTTTGTGTGGCTAACTCAGTTTTAGCTTCCTCTTTGTTACTTTTCCTTCTATGGGTCTTTGGGCTCAATGAGCGCCCCCCCACACTTTTTTGGTACCAGGGATTGAACTCAGGGGCACTCAACCACCGAGCCATAACCCCAGCCCTATTTTGTATTTTATTTAGAGACAGGGTCTCATTGAGTTGCTTAGTGCCTCGCTTTTGCTGAGGCTGGCTTTGAACTGCCTCAGCCTTCCGAGCCCTGCTGCTGGGATTACAGGCACGCACCACTGGCCCCACTCTCTGAGCCTTTTTGATATGGTTATTGACAGCCACATTGCTGGTCCTCCTCACCTTGCAAGTCACTTTGCGTAACAAATGTTCACTTGAAAATACAATTCAGTTGCCAGATAAATACAGAATGGCATAATATTTGGGATATACCTATGCTTATAATTATTTGTTGCTTATTTGACATTCAAATTTAATCTTCAGCACCTTTATTTTTATTTGCTAAACCAAACCACCCAAAATAAAATGGCAGGGGCCTGTGTTGGACTCACCACCTGATCTTCCTTTCTACCTTTAAGAACATTGGTAGAGAACTAAGGTTGTAGCTCAGTGGTAGAGCACTTGCCTAGCATGTATGAAGCCCTGGGTTTAATTTGCAGCATCACAGAAAAGAAAAAAAAAATTGGGGAAGGGAAAAATAGCAAGATAGACCTGAAGAGATTATTACACGGGGAGTATTTACAATAAAATCTAATTAAGTCTATCAATAATCAATATCAAGTCTATAAAATACATAAGAGCCTTATTTTGGGGGGGCAGTCTTAGGAATTGTAGTTTAAGAGATGGAGATTTGGGTAAAACCCAAAGAGTGTTCTGAAGAGGGAATAAGAGGCTAGGTTTTAAGACAGCAACACCCTACATTGACTGGAGTATTGACTGTTAAAATGCATGAGTCCATATCTGATTGGTCAACCTGTAGTTACAGGTGCAAAGTGAAAAATTAGCATTCCATCTGGCCTGGCTCCAAACTAGTCTAAGTGTAACCTGTCAGATGATTTCTAGGCTCCATTTTACTGTGAGCAAAGTAATTTTATCCATGATTTCACAATTGAAAAATTTATTTATTTTTCTTCTGACTTAAAAGCAATATTACAAACATAACAAACAAAACCCTCACACCTCTTCTTTGGGATTTTCTACCCCCAGGCTAATGTTAACTGCTACTGAATACACTTGAGTCAGCCTAACTATGTGCCTGGATTCCTGTGGGCCATGAATGAACCATACACACATCACTTCAGTCTTGATGAAAATCTGACTAATGCATTTGGTATTTAAGGTCCTAAAGGTAAGTAATAATGTCATGAATGATGCGATATAATTGAAAATTAAATAATTACATAGCTCATGGGTTTAGCTTGAACCTGGGACAGGTCCTTTTTATTCACAAAGAGGTGGCCGGCCCAGCTTTAGAAACCAAGCAACATTGACACTCATGTGAAACCATCGGCCAGATTCCTTTGTGGCAAAGACTTCCTGTGAAGAATATCTTCAAAGCCTAGTAAATGATCCTTCTGTATTGCATAATGCTTTCTAATAAATACCCTCTGTGGGAAGGAATGATCCCTGCACACAAAACTCTGTGTGTGTGTGTGTGTGTGTGTGTGTGTGTGTGTGTGTGTGTGTGTGTTGCTGAGGATTGAATTCTTATGCATGTTAAGCATACACTCTACAACTGAGCTACATTCCCAGCCCCCAACAAAAATCTTAAAAGAGTTTTAAGAAATGAATCAGAATGACCGAAGTGTGAGGTTCATTCACTTTTCACCTACTTTCAGAACCATGTGTGGCAACTAACTTATCAAGAGATAAGCCTATGTATGTACAAAGGTGAAATGCTAAAGTTAAGGTAGTGTCCTATGATTCTTCCGGAATCCTGATGGGTGGGGTTGTTTGACAATCTCTCTTAAGTATTTCTAATCAAAATTATTAATCTTCTGTATCTGGAAATTCCAGATCCTGTTCTTAAATAAGTCTGAGAAATTTATCACTTAGATTAGTGCATCTGTCTCTAGAAAAATGATCCAGAAGGAAAGGATGCTTCCATTTTCTTTCTTAGTCTTCTGGACCCAAAACAAATCTCTGTGATAGCTGGGATCTAAACTGTCTTCCCTAAAGGTCATGCATGGAAGACTTGGTCCCTAGTGCAGCAATGTTTAGAGGTAGGACTTTTGGAAATGACTGGATCATGAAGGCTCTAACCTCACTAGTGGTTTAATCCATTTTGATGGATTAATAACTTGAATGGTCTACTGGAAGGTGGTGTAGGCAGGTAGGATATGGTTGGAGAAAGTAGGTCACTGGGGGTTGTGCCCTTGGGAACTATATCTTGTTCCTGGGCCCTTTCTTTCTTTTTCTGCTTCTCAGCTGCCAAGAGCTGAACAGCTTTCCTCCATCATGCCCTTCTGCCATGATGTCCTGCCTTACTTAGACCCAGAGCAATGGACTCAGCCAACCATAGACCAAACCCTCTGAAATAATGAGCCAAAATAAGTTTTCTTCCTCTAAGTTGCTTCTCTCAAGTATTTGTCACAATGATGAAAATCTGACTAATGCATTTGGTATTTAATCTTCTTCTTGGGGTAGCCTGAATCCAATGAGTGTTCATTGCAGGGGCAGGAAGGCATTATGACAATTCTGTAGAACCATCCCATAAACAGTGTCCCATGGAATCAGCTGAAGCCTTTGGTGGAACCGTAACACCATTCAACTTCTGATCATTTCCTGCCCTTTCTTCAGGCATATTAATAATAAACTTCCTGCATGCTAATCTCCACCTCAGAATCATTCCTCAGGGAATCAACCTGTAACTTTGACATGAGGAATAGTTCAAGAAGGCAGATGCTAAGATGGGATTCTGCAATTGAGTCACTTGCTACTGGTAAAAGGGGTACAGGTTAGCCTTGGTCAAGGTAGCAGAGCAATTGTTAAAACTTGTGCCAATAATGAATTTGTATTGTATTTAAATGGAAGAAATACATTCCCTATGTATATGGCTTTGGAAAAATATTGGCATAATAGGAATTAGAAGGACAATGGAATTGGATTGGATGACTGTTGCAATGAGCAATAGATACTTTGAAAAACAAAAACTTGACAAGTGATTGCACAAACTACAAGCTAGGTATGGAAGTCAGAGGTATTTTGGAAGCATTAAAAAAAAGAATGCCTATCTCTAGTAGCCAAAAGGCAGAAAAAGTTGGGGGATTAGGCTCAATATTTAATAGCAAAAGTAGCAGAATTCTAGAAAGGGTTTAACTCTAAACCAAGAAATGTTGGCTGTGTCCCAGTCAGGGCTCCAATTAGTAAAGGCTGTGTGTTAGTCAGCTTTGTGTTGCTGTTACCAAAATACCTGACAAGAACAATTTAGAAGAGGAAAAATTTATTTTCACTCATGGTTTCAGAAGTCTAGTCCATGGTTGGTCTACTCTATTGCTCTGAGCCTGAGGTGAGGCAGAACATCATGGCAAAAGGTATCAAGCTCAGACCCAGCACTACAGCTGTGAAGTAGGGGGAGGGAAAGGGACAAGATAAAGTTCCCAAGGACATGCCCCTGCAGTGGCATACTTTCTGTAGCCATATCCTACCTGCCTACAATTACTACCAGTAGTCCATTCAAATTATCAATCCATCAAATGGATTAATCCTCTGATTAGGTTACAGCTCTCATAATCTAATCAATTTACCTTTGAACATTCTACATTGCCTCACACATGAACGTTTAGAGGATATCTCATTTGCAGACCACAACAGGATGGAATCTGGGGATATGAAATTGCAACATTTGGGTTGACACATTTCAAAATGCTGACTCCTCAGAATCCCCCGAGCCTCAAGAATTGGCTTCTTTCTCCACATTAGAAACTAGCACTCACCCAACGTTTTTTAAGATAGTGCAGTAGCCCTATCCCTGTAAGACACCAGGACCCTCATCAGGGTCTGCCTTTGCCCACCCTCTTGACCATTAGACCAATAACTGTATTCTCTAACTCATGGAGGATGTGCCCTTCCTGAAGGAGCTATGGGATCAAGCCAACATCAACTGGCAGGAGCTAGCAGAGTACCTACAGAGTTCTACAAGTGCTCAATCATGGAGAGAAGTGCACAAGGTTGGGATTATACTGATTTTTCTTTCTTTTTTTCCTTCCTTCCTTTTTATTTTTTATTTTTTCTGTGCTGAGAATGGAACCCAGGGCCTTATGTATGCTAGGCAATGGCTCTACCACTTAGCTATACCTCTAGCCCGTTTTCTGTATTCTTGATGCTCTGGCATTTGGAGCTTTGATTCTGAAAAGACTCCACAGTGAGCTAACTCCTAGAGACAGCAAACTCCTGGGAGAACTCTTTGATGTACACATCAAGCAATCCAGAACCCATGCCTTGAATCATCTCCTTTATCAAATTCTAACACACCAAGCAAGACAACATGCACTTTATCCTAAATCACACTAGGACCAGGTCCTGGATAACTAGGAATCACAATTTTAGCCCAGAGCCTGATGAAATTATTCAATTATCCAATCCTAAGCTTACTTTGTGTACCTCCTCTTCCCTATTCCTTCCTGAGGAAAACTCATCTTAGGGTTATGTTTCCTTCTCCCTCTGCCTCCTGACCATCCCTGATGCTTCCTCAGCTGACCCTTCATTGTGTGTCATGCCTCCTGTTTCTTGAGATCTGTGAGTCTGAACTTCTTTCTTCCTGGCAATCATTTCCATTTCTATCCTCTTATCATGCCTGATTAAAAGACATCCTGTGTACATTTTTAACACAGGGATGGAATGTAATTTGGGCAAAGGAAATTTTACAGATATGGGAACACTCTCCTAGAATATGAGATTTAACACTCTGGCAAGGATCCCAGGAGAAGGAGCAGATATATTGCTAGTATAGCTCCTGGGAAGTTGGTGAAAGCAATGACTGATGCTAAATCAAGTACAGATGCCAGAACTATTGTGACAGGAAGTGGAAGAAAAGATCAAAAGGGTCAGAGGATTGGGCACAAGGCTATAAAATCCACCTGATATTCTTTAAGAGAGACTGAAAGACATTTGATTTACTAAGGTGATGAGGAATGAACTGGGGAGAGGGACACCAGCTTCCTTGAACAGTTCAGTGTTGGCCATATGCAATAGACAAGCACTGATGATAGGAGATGCTGTGATGGTTAATCTCGGTTGTCAACCTTACTGGATAGAGAGATGTCTAGAAAATGAGTAAAGCTTACTTCTGGGTATGTATGTGAGGGTGTTTCTAGAGAAGACTGATGTGTGGGTAAGTGAGCTGAATGAAGAAGACCCACCCTGCACATGGATGGCATCACCCAATAGACTGGAGTCCACAAGGAACAAAAAGGCAGAAAAAGGAAGAAGCTCTCCAGCTTTAATGGGAAAAAGTGTAGTTTTTTTGCTGCTGCCATTGTCCATGGATATCAACTCCAGATTCTTCAGCCTTTGAACACAGACCTGCACCAGTGACTCTCCAGGGAGATGCCAGGCCCTCAGTCTTGGACTGGTTCTGCATCATTGGTCTTTCTTATGCAGAGGCTTCCAGCTTCTTGGACTGAGCAGATACGGGTTTACCCAGCACTACAGCCTGAAGACCCAGCACTGTAGCCTGAGACAACCATTGTGGGACTACCCAGCTTCTGATCCTATAAGCCAGTCTAATAAATCCACTCTTAAAATTGTATATGCTCTATTGGTTCTGTTCTTCTAGAGAACCCTGATTAATACGGATGCCATTATAGATTGGGAATTCTTGATGTCAATATGGATGATAGGATTCTAAAATAACAGAGTCCAGGTGGCTACACCTACATTCCAAAAGTAGGGTGGCACAATGATTATGATGTGAGTGAGCCTACGCAGTGTTGTGCCTATGCAGAAACTATGGAGCTGTTGAAAAGAATCTGGTGTTCCTAGGGTCCTGTAGATGGGCATCGAACATAGGCATAAATAATTTTTTCCATGTTGTTTTAATTGGTGCATTATAATTGTACAGAATGGTGGGATTTGTTGTTACATGCACACAATATAATTTGGCTAATATCATTCCCCATGACTTCCCCTTTCCTTCCCCTCCTCTCTGCCTCTGGAGGGATAGCTTACTTTTTATAACCTGAAATTAAAGGATGCAGGAAGGAAGCTGCCATAATAAAAGGTTGTTATCCTTTCTCCAAGTTTTGGACCAAAGATTTTTTTTTTTTTAAGACACAGAATCCACTGATTAAAGAAGAGGTTTATCAAGGTGTGATGGTGCACACCTGTAATCTCAGTGGCTCAGGAGACTGAGATAGGAGGATTGTGAGTTCAAAGCCAGTCTTAGCAATGTTGAGGTGCTGAGCAACTCAGTGAGACCTGTCTCTAAATAAAATACAAAATAGGGCTGGGGATGTGGCTCAGTGGTTGGGTGCTCCTGAGTTCAAGGCCCAGTACCAAAAATAAAATAAAATAAAATAAAAGGAGGCTGGGTCCTCATGAGGAAAAATTATACACTTGTATATTGTAATGATTGTTCCAATCTTTCACCATCTTTGTGATTATTTTCTTGAATAATAATATTGATCATCCTCAAATTCATGAAGCATCCTAGTTAGAATGGGGGCATTTGAAATCCAGGTAGTGAATGGAGTTCTGGCCCTAGTCTGCCTCACATTGATTCCACTGAGCCTAGTGACCCATCTGATAGTTGTTTTCCCACAACTTGAGTATATAGTTGCAAGGGACATACTTGATTTTAGTTTCATTCTTACATTGGTTCTTGGCCTTTGAAGGAAGTTCTGGTGTCATTAAGAAGAAAGAAAGAAAGTCTTTGACATTTCTCCTTTGGCCTTCTCATCAGCTAAGGTAGTAAAGCAAAATCAATG